TTGTAACTGGACAATACGGTTGGTCTGCCAACTTTGAACGTATCATGAAAGCTCAGGCATTACGTGATTCTAGTATGGCATCATCATATATATCATCTAAAAAAATTTTGGAAATTAATCCACATCATTCAATCATTAAATAACTTAAAACCAAAGTTGAGGCTGATAAGAATGACAAGATAGTTAAAGACCTTACATGGCTTCTTTTTGAAATATCACTTGTACATTCTGGTTTTAGTTTGGAAGAACCTTCATTATTAGCCAGCAGAATTTTCAAGATGATTCAATTAGGCCTTGATAATGGAAATTAACATTTAGATGTAGTCTTGAACACCTGGAATAATATCAAATTATTGTAAAACGATAAGGGAAGTGTCATTTATCAGCTGATTTTTTGCAAATAGTAAAATCTCTCTCACTTAATTACAATTACATATAAACACATATACATGTGATATATTAGTATGATATTTTGGCACTTACTCTCCTGCTAAAAAAATCAAATAATAAATGACACTTCATAACACAAAAAAATATAATAATATTAAATATCTGGATAACAGATAAAGCATGAACAATTTAAATTTCTTACATAAAGGTGCTCGACAAAAAGTCATGTTGCTAGCATCCTTTAAGAATTTTACTATTAGCATATAAAACAAATCATTCATAAAAAAAAAAAAAAAGAATTGTATAAATTTAGATTTTTAAGTCCCTCACTAAATACAATACTGATTGATTTATTTAATTTGGTAAAACTGATAGCTAACTAAATGTTGCTTTTGTTATAATTATTGTTACAGTAGTTATTGTTTCGAATCACATTTCTATTCTTGCCACAGAATTAAACATATTTTAATTGAACTATTATTTTTTTTTATGAATTTTAAAGATTTAAACAATTGAAATAATGTTAATGAACTTTAATGTATGTATTAATAAGCATTGTAATGGGACTTAAAAGTTAAAAATTCATGTTTATACCCCGTAATGTATTGAAAAAATATATATAAAATATTATTTGTCATAAATTATTAATACGACAATTAAAAATCACCTATTTTTTGTATTGTTAGTCCCATCACCATTGATGACCATTTTGTAATATTTGCAAATTGAACAAAAGTTCTTTAATATTGTTAAATCATTTAATTACAAATAGGAAAAAGGTATCTAATTTAATAACAAGTTTTACTTTCTATTTCAAAAACCATGTGTAAAAACCTTGCTCTGAATTTCAATGTATTTCAAAATGTGATACATATCGCATTGTTAATAAAAATCTTGTCTATCATGTTTAATTTTAAAACTTTAACAATTTAAAGATGTTTTTTGATCTTATATTTCGTGTTGGTGGCCAAACAGGCATAGACAGAATCTTTCAAGATGAATTTTTTGAGTTTTCAAAAGATAAAAAAAAGCAATTGATTAATAATCAAGAGTTCATTATGTATATAACTAATACGATTCGTTTTGTTCTTACCGGTTTTTGTCCAAAAGGTAGAAAATGTGAAGATGGAACTATTGATAATAAGTATCCAATGGTGGAATTAGATATTGACGACTATTCTTATAGGACCGATAAAAATATTGAGTTTTCAGATGGTGTGTTAATTATTCAAGGAGATTCAA